TCTTCCATTCCTTTGTAAACACACATTATATCACGATATTACATATAAAATACTCTTGCAAGTAGAACGAACCTTTTCGACGCTAGATATTCCCACGCTTTTCGTTTCACTTTGATTTGACTTTGGTTTGCGTCAATTCGTTCATTGCCGGCTACGCTGTTTAAGCTATTGGCTTGAACAGAAAGTTCGTTTCGTTTTCCGTAACTAGATGAATTTGGATTTAAACCATAACCATTAAGTTTAATGTAATTGATGTAACCTGATACTGATGATTGGTTAATAGTTAACTGTATTATATAAAAGAAACATTTTCAAAAGCATTTTTTGTTTTCTACTACATATGACTGACTACATGTGTCAAACGTCACACGACAAATATCGGTGCAACTTGTCACTTATTCCACCCGTTACAAAACTATCTTGACAATTAGAAGTTGTCTCTTTGGAATGCTGCAAAAACAAACTGGAACGTTTCTTTTTCTCGGAAGACTAAGCGATTCTACGCCAGTAGAATAACAAAGTTTTTTACAAAAGTATGGCTATATATATATACATTTTTGTATTGTACATTATATTGATTGAAAACAATACATGTAAAGGAGAAATTTTAGATTGTCCTTAAAGAGGAAACGAATTTTCCGTTCAACCCAATACCGTCTAATACGAATCTCTTCCATATCAGAGAATAAAACGCACAAAATCCCAGGAATTGCGATCGAAAAAACATAATAGTTGGTGGAAAATTATTCCAAATTTTATCCGAAAACGCAATACAGTGCACTGTTTTGAATGCCAACGTGTAGAAACTCAAGAATGCGCGAGTAAACTACTGCAGTAACTAATATGAATCTCTTAACTATTTTATCATCAACTAGGTTCAGGTTAGGTTTCGGCATTTTTACCTCGCCTATCCTAACCTGACCCATATGGAATAAAACAGTGGTAGGTCCAGCATTTGTACCTCCATTTCCACATGAAGCGTTAATATCTTTTACAAACAACTAGTAACAGCTATAACCTTCTGAAGATAACTCACGAGGGTGACATATGTGAAGGTTAAGGTCATTGGAGGTTGGTCCCCTAAACAACGAAACTTTACCAGCTTTATTTGCCAGTTTTATCAACGAAACTTACTGAACAATAACAAAAGTTAACAAAAAATGGTCAGTAATCAAATTTTCCCTATAACTTTAGATACAATTTTCTTTTGTTAATCACTGTCGTTTCTTCATATCGATAAAAATTGACTTTGTTTAAACGGCATAAATGTTGATAAATTAAAAGCAAGTATTTATAGATATTATTCAGCAAACCTCGATTTCTTTAAGTCTCTTCTCAAACATATGAATCCTTTCGAAAACTAGCTTCTCGTGAAACGTCCAAAGTATAGGTTCTTGCGACTTAAAGTAAGTTTCTACTTTTTCTTTATATGATCGAAACAATTCTTGATAACTATTGAGCGTCGGTATTACCTCCGCTATCTTCGCTTTGTTGTCTTCAATATCTCCTTCGAATAAAGTTGACGGATTTATATGTTTCACTGCCTATAAAACAATAATCAAATGACAAAAATATCAAATACGAGCGTTATCCTTCCCTGTTAATATTAAAATAACGATTAGCAGAAAAATCGTGCTTATTTTCCAAAATGTTAATTTCCATACAAGATGCGTCACAATCGAATTTCCCTGATTTCGGTAGTTGACCCACAACACCGATAGGGGATGATTAATGGTCAGTCTAAATATTATATATATTATATTGTATTCTTATCATTTTCTTTTTACATCACTATTATTATCTGTACACGAATAAACGCACTTTGCAGTGTAACAAATGTTGGAAGAAAAGCATCTAAAGCTGTGAGCTTATAGCACTCGCTGACAAGATGTAAAATATCTGTAATCAACATAAGTCCTAAAGACAGTCCTTTCAATGAAAAATAATGATTTGTTTTTACATTTGTAAAAGACGTTCGGTGTGTCTTCCATCTATTTCAAAGCAAGACTAACATCTGCTAATTATGGATTGTCGTAATTTTTTTTTCAGTATTCATTCCATGTCTTGTATTACACAACATACGTTCATTTTCCATTTATTGCTGTAAGTCTATTGCATTATTTATCATTGACAAAAAGAACAAGACCTTCAAGTGTCGCCATAAAATACATCCAAAGAAGTCAGATTATTCAGAGTCATTAGCATTTAGAGATCATTTTGAGGTTTACGATATAGAGGAGAATATCTACTATTTCTTAAAATTTAAATATTTCGCTAATTTTGCATATGTTAACTTTATTGCCAAGAACGTCGTAAACTTAATCACCATTTAAACCTTTGATGTTTTCTATTCAATAAACGTATCGTAAATTATTCTTAGAATTAGAAACCACGAGGACAACATGCATCTTAAACACTTGGAATAAATTGGACTTTAATTGCCGATGAACGACAAACGGACACAGGGTACAATAAATTTGTGAATGAACTTGAAATAATAATGTTGTAGATAATGTAATTTTTATTTGTAATAAAATTTTATCAGGTGATACCCGGATAGGACGTAAATGAGAATCAAAAAGTACATCAAGCGATATATTGAAAGTGTAAAATAAAGCATTAAATAAAATAACTGATTGGACTAGTAGTAACTAGAACTCTGAAATAACAAATGACTCTCTATTTAAATAATTCTTTAACCCAGTTAGCTGTTTCTGACGAGTATACTCGTCATGAGGAAATGGTACAATATTTTGTGTTATGGCGAGCCCTGTTAGTAATAAAATTAAAAAATAAAACAGTCGTTTCGCTACAATTTAATTCTATATTATCACAGCTACACATACTCTGTGTTTGATGAATATACTCTTACTTTTTGCGACGCATTTTAGGTACACACTTTCCAAATAATGGTTAATAAAAATTTGTTCAATAATGCTCAAAAATGTTTGTGTCAATATGTTATCTGTTATGTGATTATACTATGTGAATTAAATACCTGAGAAATTAATAAATTTGAAATTTCCCGTAACAGAGCAATAATTCTTTCCATAGAGTAATATTTCGAGTTCGACCACATTAAGCAAACACAGTGAAACAGTAACTTTAATTTCCATATTATATCTCTGAACTCAACGTTTTCAATTTCATTGAAATACATTTCCAGAGGTTTCAAGTAAAGATTTATATCCCTTGTTTCCAACAATGCTGAAAGATTAAAGCAAAGATCATTTGAACGTAAATAATATATCTATTAAGTATAATAGTAATTTTTATTTTTAATTTAACAAAAGGATTATGATTTAATATTTCTCAAAGATTAAATTAGAACTACTTTGAATAGGAAAAGAAGAAGCAATTATAATTTTAAGTTGAAACATAAGTGTCAATATTCCTTAAATTAGGAGTAAGAAAATGCTATTCCAGTCAATATAAAAGAAAGTCAATAATTCCAAAATTATAAGAAATAAAACATTTTCTTTTTCCTAACTATTACTTACATGCAGTCACGTTCTTTACTAAATTTTTGAAATACACCGAATATGGACTTTCCATTTTTTCTAGAAATAAATCCATCTGTCGTACTTTTGGGTCTTTTAATTGATAATAAAGCGATTCCATATTCTTTAGTCTCATGTTCCAATAGACCAACTCTAGTGAAATAAACGATTTCGAATGATATTAATAATTGTCGTACCTTCCTTGGCAGAATAATTACAAGTGAGATGAACTTTTTCTTCAAAAACACGTCATATTTAATATTTTTAAAGTGAAAAACTCAAATATTTTTAAATTATCTATACTATCTATCTATCTTTACTTTTACTTATTTTTACTTACTTACAGGTAGGTAAGTTGAATTCAACAAAAGCTAATACATTATTCTATTGAATTAAATTATTAATTTATTGTAATTATTCCAGAATAGAGGCGATACCAACGATTTCAATGACCTTGAAATATGTTGATAAATATTCTGAACAACTTTTTGCTATACATACAGCGTGTCCTGTTTAACTGGTAATGCTCAGATATCTGAGAAAATACGAAGGATGCGAAAAAATGTTTGAGACAAAGATTGCATCATACTGTACTTTTGCGTACTTGACCTTGAAACATCCAGTAAAGACGACATTAAAATTTTTAAACGGATACCACCATTTTCTATTACATATTCCTGCAGCCGAGATAGACATATTTATTTGCACATGTCCATTGTTGTCAGATAAAACAATAGACCTTCATTTCTTCCAAATAGAACATTAATTCTTCCTCCTCTTGGAGAAATGAAAACACAGTTTAGAAAACTCCTAAACTACTGAAAACGTAGAAAACTACTAAACTCTTCAACATCTACTGCAAATTTTCTCGATGGATAATTGATAATATTCAAGATTTAATATGATTCAGAATAGTTACTTACTATCGTCCAAAAGATGGTAGAAAATAAGATCACAATCATTAGAAACAGAAAAATGGTCAAATTGTTTTGAAAACAAAAATTTGTAAAATAATTTGTTAATACATACACTGCTTGTAATTTGACAACTAAAACTGAATGGCGGTTTATTTATAGGAAAAAGTTGTTCAGAATGTTGACCTTGACAACATATTTGAAAATCATTGAAATCGGTGAAGTCGCCCTTGTTCAGAATAATTACTAATTAATTAATTAAATTGATTTAAAAATTGCCGTACTGAATTAGGATTATAATTACATTCTTATAAATATGCAAAAAATTATTATTATCTAACACGCTCAAATTATAATCATTTCAATAAAACAATACTGATTCATTTCACGCATTTCACAGATATATAGTTTCAAAAATTTACCTCGCTCGTTTCCTCGCCTAATCCATCTCTACCTAGATTACCCTAATAGTAACATAGCATACTCAAAGTATGCTAAATATAATATTATTATGAATTATGTATAGTAATTTATCCTAAACTTATATTTTATAACTATGTTTGAAATATCTGGTAAAATACTTATTTTTTAAAAAATATAAAGAAAATATCTAAGATTTTAGAGAATAATTTCACAGAAAATATGTCTCCTTTCATTACAATATTTGAAACAATATATTCTAAGTATACAAACTAAGTATATGATAATATTCTAAATGCTAATATACGTATATAGGTTTCAGTTATATGTAATGATAAAAACAAAATGATAAACTATAAACAGATATGGTTTGAAAAATTAGTAGATTACCGGACACAGGAATTTCCTTTTCATTCGTTGAAAACTTTGAGAACTCTACGTTGAGGATCTCATTAATTTGTGTCGCCCATTTTATTACAATTTCCTCTATGTTGTTCTTTACTTGGAGTAATTTAGGAGACTCTAATTTAGAATTGAATTGCTGATCAAGAATTTCTTCGATACCCATTGGCATTGGTAGTAAAGTTTGTCCTGTTATTTTTCCTTTCACCTGTATTTTGTATAAGTAATAATATTTTAATTTGTTCTTCACATAGCCTTTAATATGCATATAAACGAATGCAATAGGTCAATTAATAAGTATAAAATTATACAGTTTGTATTTAAAGATGTCAACATAAAAATGCATTCTATAAAGTTGAAGCAAAAAATTTCGTACCAGATATCTACATATGAATTCATTACTAAATCATTATTGGTAGGTACAAATACATAAGAACAGCGCCTAAAGAGGAATATCTGCAGAAGGAAGGAAGAACAAGATGCGGAAATGTTGGGGAGCGTAATCGTTACTAGTTGGACAAGAGAAAAAGAAAATGTGTTTCATGTAGTTTAGAGATAGGCACCTTAAAAGGCTTAGTAAAAAAATGGCTATAGGTTAGATTATAGTGTGCGAAGAAAAGAAAATATAGTAAAAGGTAGGATAAGTGAAGCGGTTATAAGCTGGTTAATTCAGTTTTGGAAAAAGACCCATAAAAATATAGGCACCGAACTGATTGTAAAGCAAAGGTAGATACGTAATAGCATATAGGATAGTGTATATAGGTTAGGTTAGGGTTAGGTTAGGAGAAATAAGGATAAACTAACACGTTTAATTTTTAGTATTAAATATGAGAGACAATATGTATGCTTGGGATTGAAGTATGAATAGGTATGGGTCTTTGGATGTGATGGATGCTCCGAGAGTTATATGACAATGAATAGGAATTAGAAATACAAAAAAATAAATATTATACATATACAGTGCATCCCGTTTATCTCGAATTACTGAAATATTTCGAAGAACATGAATGATACAAAAAGAATTGCACGATATAAAAGTGGACATATTGTATTCTTAAGTATTTGACCTTGCGATGACCTTGAAACGTTCTGTCAAAAAGGTGACACTCAGACTTTTTCAAGACACTACAAACCTGCATCTTTTGAGAAAGATATAAAATTCTAATGTTTTGAAAACATCTGAATGTCAGCTGCAAAAATATGCAATAAAAGATAGATATTTCCATTTAAAAATTACAATATCATTTTCACCGGTTTAATTACAAAATTACAATATCAGCCGGTTTCAAGGTCACTGCAAGGTTAAATAAACGAGAGAGTATACTATTGTATATCCCTCTCCATGTCGTGTAATTTTTGTCTAAAATTTGTTTTGTGTAATTTTGTCATTTTCGTGCTTTGAGATAAACCGAACACACTGTATATACTGAATCATTGTTAAATATAAAATTAACTGCTTTACTATTTTTTAAATAAATATCTTTCTACCTGCCAGATTAGACTTCGAAGATCGTATACTTGTTTCTTAACATCTTTCCGAACAACTTCCGGCCACCCAACGTGATTTTTTGGATTAGATAAAATGGGTACGTATGCCTGAAAATATTACAGTATGTAAAAATTATTTAAGGACCGATATATAGTGACTGAATTAATGACTGAATTAACATAACAGTTTTCATATATGTATATCTAAACTGTGTAAAATAATATTTTGAAAGTAAGTTCATTTTCTTTTGTTTCTTAGTTTGTCCGCGTCTCTATGTGTTCAATGATGTAAATACATTACACAAGTAGTTCTTTGAGAATTTCCTGGACCAATATCTTCTTTCAAGATTATAAATGGACTTACACCACTTTCAAAATTAGTGAATTGTGCGGTTTATTAAATTTAAATTACTTAACATTTTTGTTTTATGTTTTAATACACTTTTGTTTATAGATAAGACCAGGAAGAACAAAATACTGTTATTTAATATCAATATCCTTTCTTTTCGATTATTGGTACCTGACTATTTAGACAGACTATAGATTATAGGACATAGAATTACACCACTTTGAAAATAGATGATTATACAACTTCATCTAATAAGAAAATTTCGATTAATTAAAACAAACGAATCCTTTAAGTCTTAAATTATAGATTGTTTCATTGATATTTTCAAAAATCACATTTAGAATTTTTTCTATATTTACCTGTTTTTACCAGATATTTTGCTATCTTAATTATCTTCTAAAAGCAAAAAATATTCAGGAAAGAAAGGTGACAAAAAATTAAGCTTGAAAATTAATCTTTAAACTCAATTAATGTCACAATAAATAACAAATAGCAAATTTTACCTACCAAATTAATATTTACTAGTTTAGAGAAAGATGTTATATATTTTACACTATATATGTAATTAACATAGTGTTGCTACTAAAATCACAAAATAAAAAAAGAGAAACTAGATTTTCCTGAGTCGAATGTAATGGAATGTAATGGACAAAGTTAGAGAACTAACATCTTCTTCAAGCACCGCCAGTTCCTCGATTGGATTCGGCGCCATGTCACCTGGTATCAACAAATCTTTGTAGTTATCCTCAGTGACCTTTTGGGGCTTCCTCTTCAAGAAGTACGTCTGCTTTCTCTTAGATTGCGTTATTTCGAGATAGGGTACTAAGACACCGGCGGGTGTCAGTTGCAACACGAGGACCATCTCCGATGCAATTCCAAAGAACTTCGTGATTAAATCCTGTATGTGAAAGTCCCGTAATTCATTCATCATTGAATTAAAAAGACCATTTCAGTTTTGGAATCTCTTTAACCGATTGTATTATTGCGAATCTTATACAGGGTGAATCGAATCAGTGAGAAGTACTACCTAAAATAACTCGTTACATATTGGTTATATCAAAAAATGTCTTAAATGATTTATGCTGCATTTCATGGAACTCATCGAATGAGCGCAATTGTATTTTCTAATATCTTAAATTTTCTGAGATATCGAGGTAACCTTGATTCTTTTAAATGGCACCGTATATTTTGTATGACATTAGTTGGACCAACTGGACATTTTCTACAAAACAGATATTAATCTATTTATAACGAAAAGACATTATCGTGGCAGATATCTTGATTTGAATTTGTTAAATTTAACTTATGAAAGACGAAGACAACGTAAGCACAAAAATACCACGTCGCATCACTCCTTGGCTTTCATATTAAATTTGACAGTTGACAAATTAACCGCAACCACGACAATATCGCGTGAGCTGACTAAATGCTTTACAAAACAGTAATAAAATCCACATATGTCAACAACTTAATAGTTTGACAAATATTTTATGAACTACGCAAATATTGTCCAATCTCTATCATCCTCCCTTGAAATTATCAAATAAATGACGATTTTTAATGACCGAATTTTACGCTGGTAACAATCTGATATTTGGAACGAATTGAAGAATTCGTAACAAAAATTATCCTCGTCAATTCTTATCTTTTCCATTCTTGTTCAGTATATTTGAGCTCAGACAGGTACATCAAATAATACATCATAATCTACACATAACAAAAATATTAATTGTTGTTATATTAATTTATGTAAATAAGTATGCCTTCCTCTGATTTAGAGCAAGATAATGATTGTAACATTATTGACAGAGTGTTTGGTTATAAACAAAATATGCAAATTACTAGAAAACTATCCACTGTATGAAAAAATGGTTCAAACAGGAAGTGAATGGTTTCAGAGGGGACATAATGTGATATAATTACCTTTTTTTGTAGATGGCCGGTTAGAGATCATATACTTTTAAATACAACTAATATTTATCTACAAATAAATAAATAGTATTAAAACCTATTTATGTTGAAAAACTATTAGTGTAGCAGATGTTTTAACTTTAACCCATTCGCAATCCATGACGTACTGGTATGTGAAAGTCGAACTGATCAAATCCGCCAATGACGTATTGGTACGTCAAAATTAAACTAATTTTAATCCATTTGTATCACGGCTCTCTAGTTGTATGACTTATCGCTTGTAATGACAACAGCAACTTTGGCAATGAGTCCTTATGTCCGGAACATGCATGACTGATCATATGTAATTTATCAAATCATTCATAATTCATCCAGATTTTGTTTTACCGTATGGTATCACTTCTTTAACTGAACTATGGTTTGATCGATACAGAAGATCTCGATCGATATGTAACATCAAATCGATAATATTCTTTAGTCCTTATTGAATTGCGAGTGTTCGAGACGTGCCCCATTTCACTACGTGTGTCAGTATTACGATCAAAATAAATATTTATCTTTTCAGTCGTAAGACTCTATTTGTACTCTGATGTAACCTTATACATTACTAATTAGTAGTTAATTAATTGTTAGTTCTAATTTAATCTAATCTGATCGAATCATACTGTATGTCAACTTTTTAAACATTCAACAGAATAGTAAAAATATCTTTACATCTACATACGTACATATGTTTAATGCCCACACGCCATCTGTGTGTGAATTTACATATACACTCGCGTACACTCAGCATATCAATAGTTCACAAAGAAAAAGTAACTTGCGGAATGTTCCGCTAGGGTGACATCGGTCAGTTCGTCGTATGCAAGTTTTAATATGGCGAAACGGAGCCGTGAAGTTAAATGGAATAGAGTATATTTTCATTCTAATTCTCATTCTAACTTTAATTCAAATATTCAACAAAGATATAAAACCGAAACAATTGAAACAAGCAAGGTGAGTAATGATGAACATTGTAGCATCGAAAATGAGGAAATTGGATATCAGTGGACACAATGTGATGTACAACTAAAAATTTATAAATTTGAAGGACATGCGGCAATTTTGAATACTATAAATACCAAAAAAAATAGAAAGCTCGGATGAGATCAATATACATATGACTAAATAATAAATAAAACTTCGTGACAAAACAACAAGACATTCGAGGCACTAGTACAATAACACAATGATACATTAATAACAATAATACATGTTTTGGCCGAGCGACTTGGCTCGTTACATACATCCACGATACATATGCAATATGAGCCAGTCGACGCGACACTTTTGTGTTGACAAATTAACCTATTCAAATATGAAAGACAAGGAATGACGCGACGAGGTATTTTTGTGCTTATGTTGTCTTTGTCTTTCGTGAGTTAAATTTGACAAATTCAAACTAAGATATGTGCCACATTGGTTTCTCATTAAAAATAGATTAATACCTTCTTGCAGAAAACGTTCAACTGGGCCGATCAATGTCAGGAAAAATATACGGTGGCATCTAAAAGAGGTTGCCTTGATATCGCAGAAAATACAAGATATTAAAAAATAAAATTGCACCCATTCAGTGAATCCCATGAAATACAGCATAATTCATTTAAGACATCTTTCAATATAAACAATAGGTAACAAGTTATTTTGATAGTACTTCTTGTCGACTCACTCTGTACAAAGATAGATAACACGTTAAAATGCAAACGAAATCCTACTGTACATGCACTTATGTAATCAAAGATTGTACTAGGCTTTAAGCCTAGCTGCAATAAATAATATACGTATGCACATATATTACCAGAGATCTTTCGACAGGTCGTTATGACTACTTCTTTCCACAACGCATTTTTATCTTTACTCACGATGTACTCTATCTTCACTTAGGATATACTTATCGGAAAAAGTAGAAAGACGCAGATTGTTTTTTTATCAAAATGCATAATCTGATAAATTAATGGAACAGTAAAATTTTATTACTCTGTTTTATAAGCACAATTTATGATCCTTTTATTTTTACTTCAGATGATCACTTTATTGCGTTAATCTGTATTATTGCGTTCTTTAACTTACACGTGATCAACATAAAAACAGAAAATATTTTAATGAAAATTAATCGTATACAGGATGTATACTGAAAGCATCTTTCAAGCATTTCCGATAATTTGCCCAGAAAAAAACTTTACAAGACAGTCTGTCAGTTTTTGTCCCGCTACACATTTGGATATTAGAAATTACCAAAAAAATTTTTTTCATTAAAAGATAATCACGTTGATTTTTTTAAAAGATATATATTTTGGGCTTTACAGAGTTGTAGCAGGACGAATTCAAAGGCTTACTACACAATGTCCTTGAGATAACCATGTATTCAGCAATTTAGGTTAGGTCAACAGAAAGAATATGGAAAATTATTTTATTTCGATCAAATTACATATTCAAAATAAGATTAAGACTGATAAACTAATAAGTTTATTGAAAAGATCCAACGATAACAATAATACCGTTTTGTATTACGATAAACTACTGCTATTGGTAGAACTTACATTTCTGAATTCAAGGTCATCTTAAGATTACCTCAAGGTCGTAATATATCAGGCCGTTGAATTTGTCTTGACGCCAGTTACAGCTCTGCGAAGTTCAAAATATTTAAAAATATCAAGGTGACCTTGAGTTTTTATTGAAAAAAAATTTTATTGAAAAAATATATTTTTAAAAAATTTCTAATATCCAAATGTGTAACAGGTCGAAAAATGACTAATTTTTGTCCAAAACATTTCTTTGGCACATTATTAGCAATGCCTGAAAAATGGTGGTTAATCTTAGAAGATACACCCTGTATATTAAAAGGCATCCTAAGATAAATTCTTCTTTGAAATATAACTTTTTAAATCGTGTTGCCAAAAATAACAAGTAATAATAAGTTGTGACGTGATAAAATATTTTAGATAAATGAATCAAAATAAATGTTCCGCTACTCATTCAATGAGCTACGTTCACGTAATTGCGATTTCCCAGACATTTTCCTTCTAAGTTATCCACAATATTTTATTTATGACCTTTCAGATAATAAAAATTTCGAAGATAAAAATCGAGATGGAAGGTTTAAATGAAAGTATCCAAATGCAACTTATGTAATATCATGTGACCGATAAGATCATAGTGAAAGGTGTGCAATAATGTTTTCCTTGCAATAAGGAAATATTTAAGTGGCTTTTGTGATTAAATACCTCACAGCTGTTCCAAGAAGCCTCAATGACTGACCGAAATGAAATTTGAGGGGATTAGCGGCTTACAATATCGATATCGGCTTCGGTATCTATAGGGAGTTTCACCTACGATGTACCCGTCATTTTTTAAACCACGTTTTAATTTCCGTGGCCAAACATGTTATGTTACGATATACCGCATATATGTATATACAGGGTGTCTGACGTAACGCGATTTATTTTTTATGTTTTCATACTGTTTGCAACAATGTAATATTTTTTGTTTTTAACCGTACTTTAATGATATCTAACGTACTACAAATGACGATAAAAAAATTGTGATTTCTGCGAAATTAGTTTTCACGTTAAATGCAACAATATCTGGTTATCATCCGTCCGGGTTTCCCCGGAATTGTCCTAATTTTTAAGACGACTTTCCCGATGCTGACTTATTTTCCAAACGGTCAGCCTTCATCAATCGCCCATATTATCATGGTATACATGTATGTGTATGAGTACAGTGACCTGTCACATGTCAGACACATCTACATGTGTTCTAATATACTAGGTAGCAATGAATTTATTTTTCTAAAAATGATTTCCAAGTGTTGCGTTCGCATTAGATGCATTCGAAGCAGTCTAAATGGAAATGTTGTGCTATACAGTTGTGCTATACATACCTAACCTAAAAAAGTATGCAGTTTGGGAGTTTCCAAGTTTCAGGTAGAAAGTTTTGGAGTTTTAATGCTCTTTATTCTAAATTAGCAATTTTCTAAATGGCAACCCTATTTAATAGGAATATTAATCCAGTCATCTTTTGACTGCGTAATCACTTTCAAGAATAGTTAAACAAAATGTAAGATCCCGTAGATAACTGAGGTTACAATAGTATATCTTACGTGGGACACCCTATAGATACTAAGACTGTATATCGCTATTGCATCATCGGCTGTTTAGTATATCAATCTCTCGAAAACTAATGAATACTCAAAGTTAAAATTTTATATTTGTAGTACACTACTCCTTTCAAATTTCGTATCGAACAGCCACCGGGATCTTTCGGAACTTTATTATCTTTCATACTTATAATGCAAAAGTAAAACCGGGATTTACCTGTGAGTAATAGTCAAGTTTCGTTCCTTTATCTTAATAGCCTTACACGCGCGATAAGATCCAAACGAACATGTAATTGCATTTAAGAAAGGAATATATTTGCACAGAGCAGGTATTCCAATGCGTTTGCAGCAGAGATGCAAAATAATAGTTAGTTTAAACATTTTTCATCAATGAGAGAAAAGTCATTGAGTAAAAATGAATGTTTATTTAAGTAGCAATCAGTTATTAATAAATCTCAGAAATTTCCCAAAATTAAAATGATTAAGAAACAATAATTTTTATTTGTTCCGATTACGAATAACCATTATGAGTAATTACAATTTTTTTTGCTACTAGTAAACATTATCGATGGCGAAATAATCAAATTGTGGTTATCAGTAACCAGCATATGTACATAACAAAAATTTTTGTAGGTTACCAGCAGCCATTATCGATGGTGCGAATTTTATTTTAGTTATTTAGTTACATTTATTTAGTTGTAACCGAAGAAAGATTTTCGATGGCGAAAATTCTTTTTAATTATTGCTAAGCAATATCGACAACAAAAATCTTTTCTATTTATAATAAATAATATTAAATAAATTTATATAAATAATAAATAATATTTATCGACAACATAAGAAGACTTAATTATAAAACTTGTTTATTAAGCAAACAACGATATGAAAATATATGAAACAAAGAATAAGATAATAAATATTATAGAATAATATTTTTATTAAAGCTTGCATTAATATTTTATCAATATCTCTTATTCTATTCTTTGTTTCACATGTTTTCATACTGCTTTCTTGCTTAATAAAATACCAATTTTTAAAATTGTAAAATTTTAAAATATGTATTAATTATCAGTAATGCTAATAGTTGACAGTGACCGAATGTGACCAGAAAAAAATTCTGCCATCGATAGTGGTTACTGTAACCAAACAAATTAAACCAATTAACCAATCAAATGGTAACGAAAGTTAAATTTCCATTATCAGTAATGATTATCTTTAATCAAAATTTATTTAATTGAAGATATTAAATAAAAATTTGTTTTCTAACGAATACGGCATCTAGTTTGCAGATAAAATGGTGTTGTAAAAGATGAAAGCTTTATCGAATTATACAACATTTTGGTTGTTGATTTCTACGATAACACTTCTATCAAACCACAACGTATTCAAGTTACCTTGAAATCCGCATTGGATAACATTTTCGTCCATCTGTCGGCTTTTAATTTTCTCGAATACGTCAAATAATTAAACATATATTCCAATCGTGGATCCTCCTCCTTTTTCTCATCATCCTTTTTATCCATTTTTCCTGGTCACAACTTTATTTATTGAATCAAATATAACATCTTATATTACTATTAATCTGTTTCCTTATCGTATGTTTATACAAAGAAATAACGACTGCTATGACAGCAGAGTATATGCGGATACCTTCAAAGGTTTCTTTTGTGATCTGAAGTTGGATCCTGGCTAAATTCACACTGAAGATTGTACCGTTACCATATATGTATACATGTATATATGTATATCTGCTATATATGTATACATATATACATATGTATAGAGGAGTATGGGACGAAATAGGATACTGTTTTGTAAATATATTCTCTTCTATACAGAGTGTCTCATTTTGATCGATACGCACAAATATCTTTAACTATACATTTTCCGTAGAAGTATTTTAAATGAAACTTGCTCTGTTTGAAGGAGGACGTCTTATGGTGACCACCAGATTTGTCTAGGTGAATCTTAAGGTGATTTTTGCCTCTATTAACTATACATCTTTCATACACCATACAATACATTTTTTAATTGTCTACAAGAAAAATATTATTACGAAAAGTAGTATATGATTAAGGTACTTGTATTTGAGAATGCTTAGTTTAAAAGATATTTCAATGTCAATTTCATCAGATTAAATATATGGAAAAGAGAGAAATATACACACACACAAAAAATATACACAAAAGCACTGCGTTATGTTTCCTTGTCTTTTATAAGATAAATTTTATAAAATCAAAGTTAAAATATCTTTTAAACTAATCATTTTTCAGAGCCATTCTTTTCTAACAAATATACAAATCTCTAAATGAAAAGAAAACAAAAAAAGCTTGTATGCAAAATAAAATGAAACTGTTAGGAAGTTTCATAAAAGTATTTAAAATGTCTCAAATAACAAATAAATTATCTATCTTTCTTCGTAGTTAAAAGGGTCATTAAAATTGACTTTTATACCGAGAAAAATTTTTTTATTTAAATAGTTTCTGCCGCCTACCAGAATTTTTTTTTAATGCATCTACTATTCTTTCAAAATTAACTATTTAAAAGATCGTATTGCAATCGCAATGCTTTTAGCTACACTTAATTGGATAATCAATTTTTCATTCGTTCCAAGTACCAAATTTTTACACTTTTTATTTTATTTTCATGACCGATTTTTAAATAAACAAACATTTTTCTAGGAAGAGATTTTCGCTCGTCTAGTATTTTCCATTTAAAAAATATTGTTCATCTATTAAAAACTTAAATTTCTATTTTTAGAAAGCTAAAAGATATCTTTTTTTTTTAATTCTATTACACAATAATTACATAATAGTCGATATTTGTAATTAGGCACTTGAAATATTTTTTGCTATGTCACGAAGGTTATGTACTATGTGTTCGTATTATCGAATCAAAAAGAACACTTTTAAAGTCTATACAATTTGTACCAATCAACAAGATTAATAACTGCAGTCATTAAACGCAAAATGGGCCTATTTATTTCGCTTTGAATTAGCACTATATTTCTACGGATTTCTCCTCCGCATTCAGTTTCAATTATATCGTTGACTACAGTTTTTGATTACGAGTTTTTAGCTACATTTTGCTTAAATGAATTCGAAGCTACTTTCTCTTTCGCTAAATGCATGAAAAAAAGCTGTACAAATACCAACAGAAGCAAATAGGTAATGACAGAGGCATAACACAGACATGTATACTAACAGGCTGTTATTATATGTTGGAGATGAAAGGAAACCCGGAGCCTTCCCTTTGCAATTTTGAGAAAGTCCTCTAATGCTTTAGCCTAGATTTTATCATAGCTGTAATTGAGCAATTATTGTCATTCGATTTGATTGTAATCGTTCGGGATTTGTGATAGCAAGATTGGGCTCGAGGTGACAACTGGTCGTCGAACGTAGCCACGGTCATGGGATGAACGTTTTGCCTGACGGAGGTGTGGAGGGGTTGTATGCTTCTCCCTAGAAATGTGGTTGTGGCGGCATACGGCCTCAAGAACGGACCTGGCCACATGGGATTGTACTTTGGAGGTGTCGATGTAATGGGACACACGTTGTATTAATAATCAAACTCCAGACGGAAACTGCCTAGCAACGGCGTTTGGAACTTTCTCGATGCTTCCAACGAGTGTGTATCAAACCTCAGGCAGAGGCTGCTTAGCAACGGCGATTGGAACCTTCTCGATGCTTGCAACGAGCATATAACAAACAAATGCAATCGTACAGCGAGAAATATTCCCATCAGATTATTATTCGTGTGAACGCCTTGGATAGTGACACATCGAGCAGTTTATATCGAGCGTCTCAGCAATCGTATTTTGTGCCTAAAATTATTCTACGCATAGTAAAGAGTTATCCCGTTGACCGTGGATTCGTTTGAACCCAAGAACATTGTTAATAGCGTTCATTAAACTCATTATTCGTTAAACATATTATTCGTTAAACTCAATATTCATTATACTTTGTAAAGTCTTGTATATACGCGTAAATATAATCTCTGTTTTGTAAAACGATGGCTAATCCAAACGAAGAATCGCTACGCGCCCTAAAATCTAATGTTAACCCGACATCAGAAGTGGGATCAGGGCCATTTATAACAATAGAACAACTTTTGAGGGTCGTGGACCGGTTAACTCAGCCGAGAGAGCAGGTACCGAGTGTAAAACCTGAGAAATTATCACTACCACGTTTTAACCCCGAAGTCGCAGGCGCCGATCCAGCCGCGTGGTGCTCGGCTGTTAGTCTGCTTGTGAAGGACAACCCTCTACGAGACAGTGCGTTATACTCTGCCTTAAATGAAGCTTTAGCGGGTTCTGCAGCACACTGGCTGACGCAAACGATGGTAGACGAAGAGATTACCTGGTCTACTGTTAAGGAACGATTCCTTGCGCATTTCGGTGGCCAAGAGACAACGTCCTCGTCGTTAATAAAGGTATCCAGGGAACCACAGGGGAAGAACGAATCCGCAGGGGCGTATTGCAGTCGTATCCGTTCCCTCCTGAAGATGAGGTGGCGACATTCTACGAAGGACGAAATACTTAACGCCATCGCTCTCTACCTATCAAGTTTGCGCGACCATCGTTTTAGACGATTGGCTCTCACGAGTGACATCAAAACGGAGGACCAATTTCAGAACGAAATGAGACCCTTTTGTTACGAGGAGGAGCCGACGGGAAATTCACCGGCGGAACCCGAAGTCAAACGACGCAAGCTATCGGGCCACAGGGTGAAGTGCCATTACTGTGGTACCCACGGACATAAAATAACGGAGTGCCGCAAGAGGATGCGTAGAGAACAGCAGAAGAATACACGAGGCCAGGGAGGAAGCCGACCAGCCACATCGTCCAAGGTGGTTTGCTTCAAGTGTCATGCGGAGGGTCGTATCGCACCCGATTGTCCGCTACTGCAGGACAGAAAACCCGGCCTCAAGAACGAACGTCGAGTCGACTCCTGCGTGGTGGAGTCTCCAGCTGGTAGTTTAAGTCATCTGGGTGAGTCGTTTCCATTTTATTTCGATTTCGGAGCCGAATGCTTTCATTAAACTCATTATTCGTTAAACTTATTATTCGTCAAACTCAATATTCGTTATATTTCGTAAAAGTCTTGTATATACGTGTAAATATAATCTCTGCTTCGTAAAACGATGGCTAATCCAAACGAAGAATCGTTACGCGCCCTAAATTCTAATGTTAACCCGCCATATATTTTCTGAACACCTTAGCTTAGCGATTATTCGCTTGGAAAATTCCTGGATAAAAGAGCAAAACGTTTTAAATCTTTGAACAACAGGAACAGATTAATTACATGGTCCATAACCTCATATTATTCGTTAAGGAAGATATAAAACAATTTGCGAAAAATATTTATAATCCATTACATATATTGTAACCAAAACTAAAATATTTTCTTATTCTTACCTTGTAATAATAAATAATGTGACCTTAAGTGTTAGACCAAATAGGAAAACAATAATAATAATAGTCACCTACTGCCACTCTGGCTCGGTAGGTACAGAAATTTGTTTTATGTCCTATTATATTCTAAACATCCTTAACACTAACTTACTAAAAAAGATGAGTTTCTCACTTATTTTCCATTGCATTTATTTACATTACAATAATCTGAAGACATCTTTGCAAAATAGTAAAAATTGATCTGTTGGATTTCTTCCCTCCGAACTAGTCTAAGCTGCGCTATGTTCCTTATCATGTGTGTTGGCAGTTGTAACTAGATATAGTCTTCATGTTTGTATGACTGTAGGTCCTTGTTTCTTTTGTCCTTCGTATCATAGCTGACGTTTAAAATTCCACGATTGTCCTTTAAAATAAGCTTCTCTCTCTGACCTTCCCTAGAATGCTTGGTAGGTTCTTTCTTATTTGCATAACTCTTCCTGGTCGGTTTTACTGAGTATATTTTTAATTTGTGTATACTAGTTTCTTACCAGTTTTCTCGTTTTTCTACATCGTCCAGTTGGTCCTAGTCCATCGCAACCTCTCCTCGAAACCTAGTGCCCTCTATTTTCAGTAATTTAATTCTCTACCGCAACGCCCTCTATATGATTCCCACATTTGTTCTCTCTGTTTCGAATCACAGCAAGTGGAGTATGGAATATCGTTGTTTCTATGTTAGTTGTGTATCCAACGATAAATCTTTATATACTAGATGTATGTGTAAATATGGCGGCTACTGTTACATCGAAGATTTTCATTTTTGCTTTCCAGTTATATATTTCTTTCTTTATGAATGGTTTCCAAAGAGCTCCAAGAGCTTATTTGCCTTTCGCTGCAAACTGTTGGCAGGTCTGGTTGAATACACCTGAAGCCAAAAAGGTAAACACCTAGATGTGTACACTTTTTATTATTGTTATTGCTATTGCTAGTGATATTGCTATGGCTATTGCTATTGTTATTGGTATTGCTATCGTCAGGAAGGAAATATACACTCTGGTAATAGCAATGGTAACAGTAACAATCGTAACAGTAGAGAAAGATGGGGGTTGCTCACGCTTATGGTTCTGGTTGTTCACGAACTAGTGCTGCACCATGCGGCCAAGTGCTGAAGGTTGCAGACGCTAGCACATACAAGAACCTACAATGCACAATAACATAGACAAGAACCTATTAATTTCCATTTTACATGAACCTATCTAATTGTACTACGAGAAGGTTTATATCTAGTTTTCCATCCAATAGACACGTACAAGAATAACAAAATCGCGAATAATTAAACTAATTGTAAGTTGTCAAAGGAAGAGAAATAAATTGTTTACTATATTTTTTCTAGAGAAGAAAAGAGAATATTCTCTTTAAAACGATAATGGATCAGTGGAATGGCACAATAATCTTAATATATTTTCCTTACACGATAGTGGTTTAGATTTAACATTGAACTTACTTTTGTCCCAATAATTCACTAGATGGTGAATTCCACAAAAACAGAAATTCCAATCGTCTATAGACAGTATGTAAGAACACGAAGACGTAACGACTAATTTGTGTAACCACATAATTGAGTGGTGCAACTAGCCACGCTCTTTATCCATCTTATTTTCATTACTGACACAAATTTATTAATTCTGCGAATCTTGATCTTGTTAAAATTAGGAAAACTATATTGAGATAAACATTCTACATTATATTGGCATCAGACGAAACTTCTCGTTTGGTATCTAGCGAAAGAATAACGAATAAACAGAACGATATAAAAGATGAAACGACGATACGAAATCTTTCAGCGAAAATTTAGAAAATAGGCAATTAGGACTCTCTACTAAAAAATATTATTTTAAAGAATATAGAAAATTATGTTATAATATTGGTAGCAAAAATTTCATTTTAGAGGAAAAACAACATTTTTACGGAAATTTAATATATCTATTAATTTTTTATGGCAAATATAATTAAAAATCGCTTACAATGGTGTCGTGTTTCGTGTAATTTTAATTAAAAAAATATCACGGACATGTTGATGAAAGTTTCATAAAAAGAGGGCCAATAACATAAGTTTTATTATTGCATTGTTGCCTTATCGATTACCGATCTCGGATTGAGTAATATTGCTCGCCACTACCTCTGTAGTTGGTAACAGATGTTCAGTAAGGAAAATGTAATTGTAAAACGTAATTGTTTTATTGTATATCCAAAGATATCATCAAAATGCTAAAATGGTCCTACCGTGAGTGTATCTTAATTGAATTATTTTATTATTATTAAGTAAGTATTAAGCAATGATTGTTGCGTTTACATACAAGAAAGTTACAATACAAGAAACATTCGATAATTACACAAAAATCTGGAGCCAAATATTACAATAACGAAGATGTAGAAACGATTGCATTTTTCGATACTGAGACGTATGAACATCGAAAAAGCCAGAAACTGAACGTAGAAAATAACAATGCGAGTAACGAAACGATCGACAAATATTAAATACCCGCGATAAGGTAAGACCTTTAACTCAAAAATCGAACTTCCTTGTTTTTGATTTGTTGTCAATAAAACTTTTACCGACATGTTTCTTACGTCCCTCTGGTTGAAATGACACCAAACACCATATAATATGGAATATATTTGCCTACTCATTTTAACCTAAAAGATCTCACAAGTATGTCGGTAAAAGTGTAAATTTTCAAAAATCATAAATATTTTAAAATCAAATAAGATAACTGTCGCTTTTAAATTAGTACTTAGTTACATTGTTTCAGCAATATCTGTCATGTCACATTACTCGATCGCGGCGGGTTATCGAGCTTCTCAAGACGTCAGAGGGAATTCCTGTCCATAGTGGGGATGACTCCGTGCAACGGAGACTCCTTTTTACTTGTTAAATAATCTTTTGCGAAAACTAATAAACATTTAGGAATGAAATTTGGCACATTTTTTCATTTAGAAATATGTAGTGTTCCTAAGGATCAAACGAACATTCCATGCGATTCAATCAGATCATTCCTATTTCTTCCATTAATTTGCAGGGAAGTATGCCACTTTAGATGCTTGTTTCATCTTTCGAATGTCTATTAACATTAAGCCTTGGTTGCTATTTACATGTGTTCCTGTTCTACGATTTTTCTTAGATTGCTAATGCTTGTTTCTATTGGGCAGGATCCTTGCACAGATACATTGCATGAACATCAATAATGAAGCTTCTGGTTTTCATTCTAAATCTGGTAATAATCTATGATTCTTTCACAACATCCGTATAGAGCGTTCAGTATCGTCGTGAAGATTATCCGTATCGTTTTCAAACAGATTATTTTCGTCGTTCAAGGAAACCGAAGCTACACTTACGAAGTTATATAACACAAAAGCAAAGGCTTCCTTGTGAACATTCTTTATCCCTATCAATTTGTGGACCAATAATATTAGGTAACCAGTTTAATGGAGAATGAAGTAATCGAATTCTTCTGCCATTTGCCAACGAGGAAGCATTGGGTTAAGTAACATGAACCCTTTCCAAATCAACAATTAACCAACTAACTACGATAGAAACTTCCAACTAAATAAATTTTCTATTATTCTTTCCTCTTATGTAGAGTGCGCTACAACGATTCAACATTCTCAAGTACGTCTTCAAAAACAAAATAGAAATATTGGCAATGTTTTTGTAAAGTAATCTACGTCTTAGATATAAATACTAGAAATTATTGTATTTTTTTAAGGAATATTTTTATTAGAAGCGAAAGGGGTTAGTTTACAAAATATCGTGTAGACAAATTTTCGAAAAAATTGTCACTCGTCGGAATTCTGAAAAAAATAGTAACGGTCTCGTTTTACAATTTTGTTACCTGAGCCTGTAATGAAAATTTAAATAATACGTTTCTGTATACTCATGTCAGTTGTATACAGGGTGGTTGAAAAGGGGGTGATTCTACGCGAAAAAAGAAGTCGAAAATATAGAATAAAAAAAATTTTTTTTAAATTTTTTTTTCTTTTTTTTTTAAATTTTTCCATCGAAACAACGATCTACAGTGAGGTCTATTATAACGAGACGTGATAAAGTGCACGCGTACCGAGCGAAAATTCAAAGTCGATTTTCTCGAAAACAAAGCCTCAAACGAAAAATTTTTATTCTATATTTTCGACTTCTTTTTTCGCCTAGAATCACCGCCTTTCCGCTTGTACCACCAGTTACCAACCACCCTGTATATGCTGAACGCTTTGTTCATTTCTGGTTATTGAGTCGCAGTTTCGAGATCAAAATCGGGCGAACATCGTACTGTTATAGATCGTTGAATTCGTTTTCAAGTCAGCTACAACCATATCAAGTAAAAATTACACAGTGCTATTTGCAAAAACCAAGGTGACCTTGCCCTTTTATTGAAGAAGCAGATTTTTGAATAATTTTCTTATTACCAAGTTTGTAGGCTGCAATCGAGGCTGATTAACTTCCATCTCAAGCATTTTCTCGTTAAATCATTGGAAATGTTATAAAAACAGTGGATACTCTTAGGATGAACACCCTGTATAAGTGACATGAATCTTCAAAATGTCTTGTTCAAATTTTCATTACAGACCCAGATAAAAAAGCTGCAGAAAGCGATCTTTATCGTTTGCAATTTTTATTTATTTATTTTACTAATTTTTTTTATGTTGCAGCGAGTATCACGGGTGGTACGTCTATAGAAACGAAACGTTGTAATGCTATAAGCAAACCAATAAAGACAAAAAAATATTCAACCTAACCTAACCGGACCTAACCTAACCGAAAATTATCCCATTTATTTATACTTGTAACGATATGTGAGCATTGTTTGAGTAAACTACATAGAAATTCTTTTCGTATGTTTTGAAGGAAAATTAGTAAAATTTTCAATAATTTGTTTAATATAATTCCATTTAATATTATTCCATTACAGAATTTTATTACGTCTTAGTTGCATATGTTATATCTTCGTTACATAAGAAATATTTGAACATTTTACAATGATAACAAATGAGATATTAAACGAAAAAATCACAGATACGTGCTAAACAGTTAAATAACCAAACATGAAGTAATCACTATTCTTCGACGTGCTGTGAATGGCGTTAAAATACTTGGCATAATCAGCATACTAACGCTTTCCCCTCTACCGTAACTAGCGCATTGCCTTCTTCGATGTTTCTATTTATACGTGCATTTGCATCGATGCGCTAATCTATTTTCGCTCCTTTGCAAATAGAAAACCGTAACGCAAGCGCAATAATAATATAAAAAAAGAATCGGCGACTTTCATATGTCCTCTAAGTATTACAGAAAAACTAATCATGTCAAATGATGCCCCCCTCGAAACTATTCAACTTCTATCTGAAACATTTTTTAATATTATCGACAACAAACGAGATGTTCCAGATGATGAAGTTAGATGGACCACCCTGTAAATGGACCGTATATTTTGAAAATGGCGCAAGTCAATTTTTTGAAAGAATTGATTAAACGAGAAATTTATTCTTCAATGCGAACTTTTCGTTTATAAATAATTCATAATTTAAATCGTAAAATATTCGTTTGTTTCTATCGATTGAAATTTCGTTAATAAATAAAATTGTATAATCAATAATTTATTTTGAAAGTACCGCAAGCCCATTTCGTAGTCTGCCCAAACAGCGAGGCCACCGGTAATGAAATACAAATGATATTGGAATTAAACAACAGTGTTTTGTCTTTTCTGCTCTTATTTACAAAGAAAAGTGGGTCAAAGCATGAAGCGTTTAGTTAGCATGAAGTTTAAATAAATGAAATTTGTTAAATTACATGGTTCAGTAGTTTTAAAAGTGGTGTCAAGCCATTCACGACCCTGAAGAAAGAAAATATTTTAAAATTGGGTAATCTAACCTAAACTCTTACGGATCACGTACGATCCAATGATATTAATTCAAGATTAAAATTTAAAAAATAATAGAAATTGCAAAAAACGAGACGATTATCATATCAGTTCGAAGTTTTAATATTTGTGTATGTGTATATACGTAAAGAGTGTATTTGTCCCGCTTCAATGAACAAACCATATGATGAAAATCATCTAATTTCACTAACCAATTAATGGATTAATCGATTTAACATATTTTCGTAATCTTAAATTACTTGAATACGTTACGACATTTTGTATTATACGTGATTTTGTAGTTCGTAAATTTGTTCGAATAAAACAAATTTTAAAAGTAAGTTTATTAATATGGAATCAATATTGCTCTCGTTGGTTTTAACCAATTTTTGTAGTGTACTAAACTTCTAGTCAAATACCTAAATACTTAAATGGATTATGTCAGATATTTACATGATTCGTTAATTTAAAAAATTTGTGTAAATATAACATTTTGCTAGTTTACTAAATATTTACATATACAAAAGAATGGAGAATTTTTACTCTCTTTTAATTCAAATTAATTTCTTGGTACATTTAATATTAAAAAAAAATATATAAA